CAATAAAAACAGAAAAACAAAACGAGAAGAGAGACGAAGAAAAAAAAAAAAAGAAGATAAGAAAGATAAAATAAATGGAGAAAGAAACAGAAAAAAGAAAGAAGGTAAATAAAAAAAGAAAAGAAAGGGAAGAAAGAACAAGAAGAAAAAAAGAGAAGAGAAAGAGAAAAGAGAAAGAAGAAGGAGAAGAAAAGAAAAAAAAAAAAAAGGAAAGGGAAGACAAGGAGAAAAAAGAGGGAAGAATGCGGACAGCACGAACAGATGGGAGGGCGACGAGCGAAAACGTCGGAGAGAAAGGCCGGCGACGGCGAGACCGACGGCGCGGCGGGGAGGGTGAGGCCGATCATGCTTGCCGGCAGCGGGGAGGAGTGCGGCGGCAACGGCAGCGGCGAGGGCGGCGGCGACGGCGGAGGAGAGAGCGGCGGAGAGGGCGGTGGAGAAGGCCGCGGGGAGGGTGGCGGAGAGGGCGGTGGAGGCGAGGGCGGCGGCGACGGCGGAGGAGAGCGCGGAGGCGACAGTGGCGGAGAGGGCAAATCGCAATAATTCACCTGCGGGAACCGGGACGGCGGGGAGGTGCCGGGACCGACTCGTGCCGCGGGCCAGCCAGGGCAGCGGCACAGTAAGCCCCCGGGCCGCCCCGAGGGCCGCTCGAAGGGAGCCAGGGCTCAGAATCGGTTTCAGGCCACAAGGCTGGTGAGTTGGGCGTGACCGTCATCTATAGAACGCGCCCGCTCGGAAGTCTCGGTCTGCGGAAGGTAACGACGATTCGGCTAGGCGTCTGCGGAGGCAAAGGGCGGGCTGGCGATCCGCTACGAGGCCTGTTTGTCGCGGTCGGACAGGCACCCGTCGCATCTGTGGACAGGTGTGACGACGGCAGTCACGAGTTTGCGGCGCAGCCGCGCACGGGGCCCCGCCGTCAGCGGCCACACAGGCAAGAGCGGCACAGCATGAGTCGGGGGGGTGTCGGGGCACGACGAGGGTTGCTTCGGCTGGCGCTCGGAGGCCACCAGGCGGCCCCATTTGATGTCCGGGAGGTGCCTCCCGGACACCTCCCGGACAGCTAACGTGCAGAGCATCGAATAGACGCCTTGCCCGAAAAAGGCGTTGAAAGAGAAGGAGACGGGGCCAGGATACGCCGCGAGGAGGACGGAGTTGCGCAAGGAGAGAGAGAGAGAGAGAGATGCCTCCGGCTGTTTGCGGCGGGCGGCTTGCTGCTCGCTGCGATGGCGAAAAACTCGTCTCGCCACACGCCAAGGGCTTATGCTCTGGCGAGACGTGAGGCGCATGCGCCCAGGAGGGGAGGGGGCATGTGTAACGACACTGCTAGAGATGCCTTTCGGGGCCCAGAGATAAAACTTCTGTGATGCCATGCGTGACCTAGTAGTGTCCCCAGCTATGGGCGTGTCCACGTTGGAGCCAGGTGTGGTGTGGGCGCGAGAATAGCTCCGCCGTTCATGGAGGCAACCGATGCGAGTCGACTGGTGTGTGTCGTCGTGGTTTCGTATCAAGAATTCTCTCTCTCGTTGCGCAAGGCGAAAGAAGCCGCGAGAACAAGGGACCGGCAGGCGGCGGCGTCGCAGGACGAGGCAGAAGAGAACGACGCGACAGAGGAGGAAGTGGCAAGGGAGAGACCGACGAGAGTGGGACGGCCGCGAGGTGGCATGAAGGTTGGGCTGGGGCTGCAAGACCTCCGGCGGCAATCATCAACGGGCGACTACTGGTCCACACCTCACTACCTTCGCAAGATTGTGCGCTCCTCTCTCGTCGCTACCCTCCCTTTTACCTCCCCCACCGTAGGACGAGGCCGGCGAGCTGGTCGCAACCCACGCCGGCGTCTTCGCCGCAACCGGTGCCGCCAGTACACACCGTCGAGCCGAGACGCACCACCAGCAGTACCCGCCGCGAGTGCACCGTAATAGGCGCTTTTGCCGCCATCTTCTTGGCCTTCGGACTCTTGCGCCGCTCGCGCGCCAGCAAGCCAGATACGGCCACGGCCGAGGCGCCGGCCATGCAGCTGGTGTGAAGTGACGGCGGCGGCCGCGTCGCGCGAAGACGTGCGATCTGCGCCATGTGCGCGCGCGCGGGGCCCCAACTCCGACGGTCTCCGACGCCGCCTAGGACGCCGCGCCGCTGGACCAACGACAACAGCAACCAGCAAGTCGCAACCACGCAAGTGCGGAAGTGCAAGTGGTCCGTGCGCGCGGCGTGGTTGTCCGGCCAGGTGTGATTTATAGTTCTCGGAGGGGGGAGTGATCCTATACATGTCCTGTAGAGGCTAGAGCCGTATCGGTGACTTCGGTCATCGGTGTGTTCGGATGTTCATATACATATTTTACACGAGTTGTTTTAGAGACACTCGTGAGCTGGCGGATAGTGCAGCCGGGGAGCCGCCGGCGCCGCTGCGGAGGGTGTGTGCGTCGCGTCACGCCCCGGGGGCAGGCTGAGGCTCGCGCAGGGACGTTTACCTTACAGTACCTTACCTTACCTTGCGCAGGGAGATCTGCAGAGCTGCCGCACAGTCGGCCAGCTCGCAGCGAGAGCACAGAGACGAGAGAACGGGGACAGGACTGGTGACTGGCGTGGCCTCTCGCTGCGCGGATGGGGCGAGGAGGACACCGGGGCGGAGGTCGGAGCTTTGGAAGGGGGATGGGGGGGGGGGAAATCCCTTTGCCAATCGGA